TCATAAATACCAAAGGTAAAAGTCTGTTTACTGAGTAAGGTATGGTTATTACGAAAAAAAAAAAACAAAAAACAAAAAAAAAAAAACAAACAAATATACTGCTAATCCAAAATTGTTTACTACATGTATTTCAAGGTATTTTTTACCCCCAACATAGAGACAGATAGATAATGTATCTAGACACGCTAAAAATATCATCAAACAGTAAAATTGTACTTTGCATTAAAAATGAAACAAACAAAAATCTGCCACCATCATGTCACACACACCTAGGGCTCAATATGAAACTGTTGTTAATTATGTGACTGACATTTAAGCTTTATGCAGGTACATGTTTCTTTGTATTTTCCAATTATCATTTTGTGGTTTTATGTATATGTGACTGATATATTTTTGAAATATCATTACGAATTACCACAAGGACCAAATATAAAACAGGCATCAAAGTAAACAAAAAATAAATAAATAAATAAAAATATATACAAACACATAATCCGCCCACTCTAAAAATCATTTGCAATGTATCTAACAGCAAGAATGGCAGAACATAATAATTCTACTACAATAAGTACTTCTAGCTCATACAAAAATTGAACAAGAGACAAGCCTTTTGTTATGTACCTTTACACATACATATGAGATGAATGTCCTAAACTTATATAATTTAGAACGCTTAATTCAAGCATGGGCTCGAAATAGGACATTACGTTTTAGACTTACTCAGTGGATAACGCAATTCAAAATTCCACGGTTCGTGTCAGATTTATGTAAGGTCGCGCAAAGAAAACCCCAAGTCCACATAATGACCAGTTTAATGGTTTATTGGTTGACGATCTCTAACTACATGTTCTATACGTGAAGCCTCCAACTTCTAAGCCGTCTCCCATAGCTCCGTCGAGCGGTCACCTTCGAGTCTTCTTCAGTCTGCCACTCAATATTATTTCTAGACATCTTTTATACATATTTCTTATCTATAGGTGGATTCTGTGCTGCAGTATTTGGCGATACATACTAATTTTAATTATTCAAATTGCACACGTCCACTTAAGTTACATGACTACAGGTAAGGCCATAAAACGAGTCGAGTGCACAAGCAATCGACTTTAATCAAATTAATTTACATGTCTGGGAATTATATTTGTGAACACTACACGCCTTCCCTTTTTACCAGAAAAAAAATACATTTTTTTTTTCATTTATCACGTTGGAGACATTCACTTCTTCATAACATTTCAAATTAAATCTTTACCATGCAAGATGGGGTCTAATAAACCACAAGTGCCATTTGTGACTTTGAGCCCTGGACTAACTATGTTAGCTCAAAATAAGTATTTTGTGATCATACAACAAAATCGCGTTTCAATTGTTAATTATGCAATTGCAATCTCAAATTTGAAGCTTGAGGTTACAAATGGCTATTTCATTTGGAAGGTCCGAAGACAGAGTGACAACTTTCACACAAACTTACACCAAGTTCTACATTAAAATTCTGAAGCATCCTCACATCATGGAAATGGCACTATTTAAAATGACATTTAGGATTCCCAGAGGGATAGGATTAGTTACCCAAATAGATATTTAGACAATTCAAAAGAGCTGAAAATCCAATAACTCCTTCTGTTTCTTGTTAAAAGAATTACTCTGTGGATAATACAGAATGATGTAATGATTTCTTGGAAAGTGAAACCTAACAGAGATTGTATAGTGTCTATATCCACTGGCATATCTCATTAGCATTCTGGTATGCCCATATATTTGTGCCTAGATAAATTATCTTAATCCTACATATAGCAAGCAAAATAAGCTTAATCCTATGTGCAGCAAATAAAAAAGCAACAACAAATAATGACTCCTTAGAAATGGATATCTAGTGAGAAAGGAAAAAAATCTTAAGAAGGTCCCAATAATTTCCCCATTAGTGAATGATTGACAGGGTACAATTTCTTAAGTATAGGTTACCAGGGGTAACATACTCAAGTATATGGCAAGTACACTTAGAACACACTAATGCCATCTAAGCAGCAGTCATTTATAACAATCCAGCATTTTAAGAGAAGGAAAAGGTCAGATTGTGGCCTTTTTTTCAAAGTCTTCTCTATTCCCCGGGAGTGGGAATAAGATTTAGAGGAATAGTTCCCAACAGCTGAGCATTTCATGACTTTTTCTGTGTATCAAAGTTAGTAGATACAGTAAACTATACTGAGCTTCCAGGGTATTTTCATCGATTTCAAAACTAGCTGCAGAAGTACACCTACAACAAGAAATGTGNTACAAACACATAATCCGCCCACTCTAAAAATCATTTGCAATGTATCTAACAGCAAGAATGGCAGAACATAATAATTCTACTACAATAAGTACTTCTAGCTCATACAAAAATTGAACAAGAGACAAGCCTTTTGTTATGTACCTTTACACATACATATGAGATGAATGTCCTAAACTTATATAATTTAGAACGCTTAATTCAAGCATGGGCTCGAAATAGGACATTACGTTTTAGACTTACTCAGTGGATAACGCAATTCAAAATTCCACGGTTCGTGTCAGATTTATGTAAGGTCGCGCAAAGAAAACCCCAAGTCCACATAATGACCAGTTTAATGGTTTATTGGTTGACGATCTCTAACTACATGTTCTATACGTGAAGCCTCCAACTTCTAAGCCGTCTCCCATAGCTCCGTCGAGCGGTCACCTTCGAGTCTTCTTCAGTCTGCCACTCAATATTATTTCTAGACATCTTTTATACATATTTCTTATCTATAGGTGGATTCTGTGCTGCAGTATTTGGCGATACATACTAATTTTAATTATTCAAATTGCACACGTCCACTTAAGTTACATGACTACAGGTAAGGCCATAAAACGAGTCGAGTGCACAAGCAATCGACTTTAATCAAATTAATTTACATGTCTGGGAATTATATTTGTGAACACTACACGCCTTCCCTTTTTACCAGAAAAAAAATACATTTTTTTTTTTCATTTATCACGTTGGAGACATTCACTTCTTCATAACATTTCAAATTAAATCTTTACCATGCAAGATGGGGTCTAATAAACCACAAGTGCCATTTGTGACTTTGAGCCCTGGACTAACTATGTTAGCTCAAAATAAGTATTTTGTGATCATACAACAAAATCGCGTTTCAATTGTTAATTATGCAATTGCAATCTCAAATTTGAAGCTTGAGGTTACAAATGGCTATTTCATTTGGAAGGTCCGAAGACAGAGTGACAACTTTCACACAAACTTACACCAAGTTCTACATTAAAATTCTGAAGCATCCTCACATCATGGAAATGGCACTATTTAAAATGACATTTAGGATTCCCAGAGGGATAGGATTAGTTACCCAAATAGATATTTAGACAATTCAAAAGAGCTGAAAATCCAATAACTCCTTCTGTTTCTTGTTAAAAGAATTACTCTGTGGATAATACAGAATGATGTAATGATTTCTTGGAAAGTGAAACCTAACAGAGATTGTATAGTGTCTATATCCACTGGCATATCTCATTAGCATTCTGGTATGCCCATATATTTGTGCCTAGATAAATTATCTTAATCCTACATATAGCAAGCAAAATAAGCTTAATCCTATGTGCAGCAAATAAAAAAGCAACAACAAATAATGACTCCTTAGAAATGGATATCTAGTGAGAAAGGAAAAAAATCTTAAGAAGGTCCCAATAATTTCCCCATTAGTGAATGATTGACAGGGTACAATTTCTTAAGTATAGGTTACCAGGGGTAACATACTCAAGTATATGGCAAGTACACTTAGAACACACTAATGCCATCTAAGCAGCAGTCATTTATAACAATCCAGCATTTTAAGAGAAGGAAAAGGTCAGATTGTGGCCTTTTTTTCAAAGTCTTCTCTATTCCCCGGGAGTGGGAATAAGATTTAGAGGAATAGTTCCCAACAGCTGAGCATTTCATGACTTTTTCTGTGTATCAAAGTTAGTAGATACAGTAAACTATACTGAGCTTCCAGGGTATTTTCATCGATTTCAAAACTAGCTGCAGAAGTACACCTACAACAAGAAATGTGTCGCACTGATGTGCCACAGTTGGCAATTTCAATTTCAAAGCATTAACTTTGGGGAAAAAAAACACCCACAGAAAATTAATCACAGATATAATGTATGCACCTGGAATAAGAAAGACCATGAGCATTTTCATGCTGGTTGTACAATTCTCAGCCACATCTTGGACACACGACAGCATGGCAAAGGAGAGATGTCCACCTCACTGTATCTGTAGGTCCGCCATGATAGACGACATATATTCGTTGGTGGAAGCTGTGATGAAGTGCCAAGCAAATAGTTGAGTAACTAACCCATTTGAACCAGAGCTTTTTATTCTATTATTTTGATAGCAAATTATTATGTTTTGTGATAAAAATCCAAGTTTACATCAATACACATGTTATAGGTACATGAAGGGCAACTCTCATGGGGGTAAGTCTCCAAATGGAACACTTGATTCAGTTTTGTTGCAGGGGGATGAAATGAGTCCAAACCCACACACGTCCAACTTATGTATTCTAAGACCAGGCAACAATATGAATGTCATAACTTAAATGTTATATCAATGGGAAGCAATTTCATCTATCTCTGCTTAGATGAGTTAATATTCAACTGACAAAATATCTGGATGTCACTTATTTAGGATTATTTATAATTTCATCCATCTTATAGATTTATTTTTTCAGATGTGAACTCTTAGTGGGTACCATGATGGTGGATAACAGGCAGAAAGTTCTTTTTTTTATTTTTCTAGGCATGATTTGGGTTGTAACAAAGAATAAGGAAAAATAGCTTGGTGGCCTTACAATAGGGGTCCTGGGAACCACTTAAGTAAGAAAACCGCCAAGAAAATATCTAATTTCCCATTTAAATTGAACAAAAACGCATGTGGGTGATCTCATTACAAATAATCTAATTACTGAGTGGCCAAGACAACAGATAATTGAAAACTTTCTATTTTCCAGAGCTGAACATCACAGCAGGCAACATGACAGATGATGACTACATGGATCTCATGGACTTATACCCGCAGTACAAGGCCCAGATCTACATCCAAAAAATCATCTACCCTCTTCTCCTCGTCATTGGCACCATAGGGAACTGCCTGGCCTTCCTCATCATGCGGAAGTTCAGCAAGAGGGTGACGTCCACGTGTCTGTACCTGACGGTTTTGGCAGTAGTGGACACTATTGAGTTATATGTGAGGTGCGGCAATGAATGGCTGAGGACAGTCGCCAAAATTGACCTCTCGTCAACACTGCTGATTTCCTCCGCAGCAGTTTGTAAAGTGTATACATTTATTCTGAATTTTGTTTCCCATCTTGCCCAGTGGTATATTGTAGCCTTGGCAACCGAATGTTTTATTTCGATGTGGAATTCTAAGAAGGCTCATTGGATGTGTACATACGAGAGGGCAGTAGCAGTCACTTTGTTGCTAACAGTCATCTTGGTGTTTGTCAATGGTCACTTCTTCTGGACCTATGTTTTAATCAAACCCTCTCAGACAAGTGAAGAGTACACGTGTAGCTTTAACGACAATGCCAAAGACTTTAAAGAAATCTACAGATATCTTGAGTTTGTTGGGGCAGAATGCGTGCCCCTCGGCATCGTCTTAGTGTTGACGATCTTCATGATAATTCGACTGGTTCAGAAAAAAGAATTTACGCAGCCAGAGCGAACCAAATTCTACATAGACCCAACTTGCTACATGCAATGTTTAAAGATTTTCTTCAGCACGTGTGTTCTGTTCATTGTGTGTTCTGTCATGTCACTGGTTTTTGAGGTGTACAGATATCTGAGTGGGGAAAACCAAGATCCTGAAATAGTGGATATTGACAGTGTATTGAATGAAGGACTTGCAAATGAGATTGTCAAAGTTATCCCAGGATTTGTTCTGCGAAGTTGTAAATTCTTTATTTACGTCAGCTGTAGTGCTTGTTTCCGTAGGGAGTTAAGGTGGTTATTTTCAAAGGGCTGCCGATGCGGACGACGCCGGGGTAGCATGGAAGTTGGCTGCCATCAGAGGAAGCCATTGATTAATTCAGCAAGTAAAGACAGCAGTGCCATTTCTGGCGTTTCCACTGACACAGAAGTCAAAATTCTAGAAACAGCAGCATAGTTCCTTACCGGGTTATCTGAAAGGTTTTTGTAATTTTCTTCCGACAATTTCTTTTCTAAAGAATCTACAAACTGAAACAACTCACAGCAAGATAACAATTATCAGAAATATTTCTGAACCAGGCAAACTGGATGGCCTATATTCAGTCAATCTTATAAACTTGATCGACCCAAAGGATAATATTTCATTTTTCAAATGGCATCTTTGGTCTTAATTCCAAGAAAAATGTCTGAAACAAATTATACATGTACCATTTTTGCTTTGTAGAGATATGATCACTCTTTTTACCTCAGAGACTGCCATTATGATAGTACCCAAGGCATAGATGTTTCAACATACAGTGCAACTGTTTTCTTAGATATTAGCAGGCCCGTAGCCAGCAATTTCAAAAGGGGGGTTCGTTTTCTGAACAAGTGGACCTTTTTCCATAAAAACATCACGTACCTAGATCAAATTTTACCCAGAGTGGACCTTTTCCCAGGAAAAGGGGCGGTTCTTTCGAACCCCCCCCCCCCCCCGAACCCCCCCTGGCTACGGGCCTGATTAGTGTGTATAATATACATTTTAGCTATCTATTAAAGGCATAATAACTCTTTGTATGAGACCTATATTTCACAATTAAAACCTTGTGAATAACTCATAGAAATATAATATATTCTGTTTTACCACAAAAACAGCAGTTATAGCTTTTATTCTGATATTTGAACTTGTCTTTAGACCACGTGACCTCCATTGATGTCTATACTCTGTTAAAATCTCTTAAGAGATTTTAACAAAAAACCAAACTTTTTAGAAAAAAAACAGGGACTAACTTTGAATGTAAAAATGGATTCATTAACCATTGGTAAGCATGAGAAAATTGTTGTTTACTCCAGGCAAATTCATTTTTTGGCCGAAACGAAGAGTTATTATTGCTTTAAACTAAATTCACATTAGGCCACATTGATTTAATTCTATGGATGACATCCATCCACAAGCATTCATGTTTGCCTGTTCTCAAAAAAAAAAAAAAAAAAAAAAAAAAAAGATCACCACCAGGGAACTTCAGAACTGACTGCTGTCATGGTCTGTGCTAAATCAAAATGCTTTGAAAGCCTGGGTCTTTTATCTTCTCCTGCAAAAACTGCTGAATTTATAGTAAAATAAACCTTCTGCACATGCATTTTGCTGCCAAAAGTGGATGGCCTGATCATAACTAACATATAAAATAATTATGAAATTGCGTTATAATTTTTTCTCACATTTTTGCTAGCTAATTTTGTTAAAGTCAATGTATCTAGATCAAGCTTTGTCAAACTTTTTGAAGCTATAAAACATAGCTGTTGGTTGTTTTCTTATTATATGTGGAATAAATGATAATGTACATTATGAATAATGGGTCAAATTTATATCATACATGAGGTAAAGCCTAGTTTAAAGCTAATGAGTAGTAGCCCAGTTGCCAAATAGTTACAATCTAAATACCAATAAATAGCAACTTTAATCATTTCAGATACATGTGACAGTTTGCCATTCTGGCCTGAATGCTGGAGCAGGCTGTTAACAGCAGTTTGAGGCCCCTGGGATCCATTATCATTAAGAAGTCAATTACACAAGCATGCTCATTTCAGCTAACTGCTTCCATACATCAAGAAGGAGAAGAGCAGAATACTGAAATTTACCCCAAACTGTTTGGAATTTGTAGAAGGAATTGCACGAAAATCCCACCAAATTTTCTCGAAAATCTTTATTTTAAATGATGATGACATATCTTATATGCTTATTAAATTAAACAAAATATATCTCCCCCTTTTTTTTTTTTTGACAACATGAATTGTTATATTCAAAAATATTTTTTAAATTAGTATATGTAATATGTGTACAATAAGCACTGACTTTTATCCTAACTGGAAAGCACCCGTGGAAGGGTTAAGACTGAAATCCTATCAACTTTTTGTTTACTACACCGAAAAATACAAATGTGCTTATTTGAATTTAATATTTCAAATAAAAAAAACTCACTTTGCTGTGGTCACTTCGAGAGAGAGAGAGAGAGAGAGAGAGATATCCATTGTGGAAACACATTTACTCACTACCACTCACTAAAGCAGTATTCAAGTCACATCCAACATTTTTCTAATTTCCACAGCCAAAAGTGCAGACTGCATAAATAACTAAACATGAGCCTATAAACGTATGGTATTTATGGAAAACAGCAAGAAGAAATCCATTATATAAGAGGATACACTAATGACACAAAATAGAAAGAACAGCAATTTGAATTTAATTTCAATCCCCATCATGCTAATGATGACAGACAATAGGTTCACAGAACAATTATCTTCATTTAAAGCAAAATGTTGCAACCATTAGGCCTGGCCCGCTAGAATGAGGCTTAGAACCATTAAATACACTGCACTGGGCAATCAAGTCATGTCTGTTATTAGTCACAAAGGTTGATATCTGTCAGAATCAGATAATGCCTGCTTTTAAGCTTTTAAATATAATTCCTGAAATGACAGATTACTAAATTAGTATTAATAAATTATATATGTGCCCTGCAAAAGAAGGGATGTCTATCTAGTGAACTGATAAACACGATAATAAATAAATAAATAAATAAATAAATAAATAAATAAATAAATAAATAAATAAAATTGTAATCAGGTACATTCACATATGGCCAGAGGGAGACACAGGAGTGACATACTTACATTCGTCCCTAAATTTAGGCTCTGCATTTGGCCCAACACGCGCAAATGTGTTGATGAGTGAAACATACAGGGAATGTTGGTCGCGATAAAGTGGGTCATCCATGAAAGTTTGGAACTGCATGTGAACCTTGTCCAGAATCTAGAATAAAAAAGATAATATTGTATCAGTTTCTAGAGATAAAAGACATCCAGTTAAGAAACTAAATTCCTTTACTCTACTACTGGACTTACAAAAATAATTTTTGTAATTCCAGTAAGAAACTAGAGAATACATACATGTACAACATAATATAATTCAAGTCATATGTATATATATATATATATATACGTTATGCATATGCACACCACAGAATCTTCAGACATAACTAGATTTTCTTCAATGAAACTGCTATAAGTCATAGAAAATTATCATCAACATACCCTATCACTACAAAACAGTTGGTACAATGACATTTGGTTGATTTATATTAAAGTAAGAAATAAGGGAATGTGAATGTGACTTATGCCTAAGACGAGACTATTTATTTACAGTGGAGCACATTTCCATCAATCTCATCTAGCACAATGGTCACAGCATGTCATGGGTGCTTGGAACAAAATGCAGAGACAACAGAGCATTTGACTTCATTATCACGCACAAAAAGACAAAAACCATTACCAATTACTATCTTAGAAAACTACATAGCTTGTTTTAAGTAATAAAAAGCTCCCTCCTTTTTTTTTTGTGAATATGCCTGTCTGCTTCTATTTAAATCAGTGTTGACACAGGGCAGGAAGTAGGCACTCGTGGAAGATAATGATGGTATAATTGATTCTAGAACAAATCAATATTTCTCAGTCCTTTTTAATTTTACCCACGGTTTCAATGTAGACACACGGTAGGGTGTGATATCTACGACAAAAATAACATAAGGTTTACAAAAACCACCAAATTATACCATGTTACATAATGTAAGAGGAATCATAAAGAAAACCACAAATTATTTTCTGCATTTGTTCATTAACTGCAAAGAAAAAAAATGAACCGTGAATGTGAAAATTACTTCAACACTCTAACCATTTTCCATAAAATCAATTTCTATGCTAAAAATGATAATGGAAACTACCTTCGACTGTATAGTCCAGAAAAGAATCACGAAAAAACACCATTACAATTCTTATCTTCACAATATTGCACAAGTTCAATGTTTCCATCAATTATTCATTTGATACTCATTTACATCTCACAGATTTATTGATATTCTTACTATGCCCACTTGACTGTGAGCAGGTCTTGGTATTGAGCTCCTTGCAAAAACAACAATAAAAGTCAATACATGGTGCCACTCTGGTCTGATAGCTAGGTATTACACCTGCCATAATTTACAAGGGAAAAAATATCACACACAGGACTGGCAGGCTGCAACACTGAAAAAATCTTTGAATTCCTTGCGATTTTGTGTGAATTTGACTGCAGCAAGGGCAATTTGACTTCAGAAAGACGCACCCCATGAGTAAGTAGACACAGAGTGACGAGACTATTACATAATTCATCACAGTATGTTGGCATTTTATGGAGCAAGGAGAGTTCCTTGACATTTTGAAGAAAAAAAAACTTCATAAGCATTCTGTAAAAGTTCAAAGAGGATCGAGCAAAAATTTTGAAACTATTCTGTCGGAGCTTTATATACAAGAGGCAGACAACTACTGGTCTTCAAGCTGAAAAACTAAGCCATCATATTACAAGCACTGAAGCCAGATTTAACCATGGATGACGAGGACAGAGTCACAGAAATGACACAGTTGCGTGATGCGCCATCTGCTGTGCCACCACCTATGGAACTAGAGGGGGAGACACAGCAGTGTGACAGGTGTGCCAAGGTAGGGTATTAACATCCCTTATCATATCAGTGATACTGATTATAAAACTAACTACACATCTAAATTAAAGGAAATTATAAAAAATATGCTAGTATACATCATGATCGTCATGTGTTGTCAAAAGAGAGTCTGGTGATTTTACATTTGGCAGAGCTAAATGAATGTATACGATTTAATACGATTTCAAGGTATAATCTCCTTCTGACCAACAAAGTGTCAGGAACTTACATTCTTTTAGCTGAAAGTGGCCATGCCAGTCCAACAAACACAGATACTTTAATTACGGTATTATCTCGATGCTGTCAATGGGCAAAAACTATTAAGCTTCCAGATACATAATTCTATAATCACAAAGTTATATTTCTATATTGCATTTGTGCTGCTTTTACTGCACATAATAGAACTAAAGAATAGTCTGCTTTTTAATTTTGTTGCTACCACTCAATAAGGATGTACTAATTTTAAGAAATCATGACCTAAAAAATATGATATTGGTAAAATTCATAATTTCCCCCCATTGAAAAATCCAGTAATTACCACTGGTCATCCACTGACGATGACCTAGCTGACCCTCCAGTACATTTGGTCACATAAGGGGATATTAACCTGCAGGGGTGTATGAGGGACTTGCCTTTTCCTCTTACCTAACACTGGCCAAAGATGTAAGATATCAATGTCCAAATACTAAAATAAAACCTGAATTTCAGCTCAAGTTCTAAAATGATTTAATATTTGATTTTATCTTACTTTCACTTTTTATTTGAAAAGCTACATGCATTAGGGCACATTTTGTAAGTTTTGAAGGTCACTTGCAAGGGCTTAATCATGTCATCATAATGACCATACTGTAAATAATTTTGAGTTTTATCACCATAATTAAATGTATTATTCTATCAATGAAGCGATAACTGTTGGTTTTCTACAGTTTGGCAACTTCTGTTAAAGTGTTGCTCAGAATATAGGTTCATTGTTCTTTCTTTGCAATAAATACAACATATATAATATGTAAATACAATAAAATAGGGTCTTAATGGTGTCAGACATAATATCATAAAATAGATTAAAGTCATAATAACTCTTCGTTTTGGCCAAAAATTGGAATTTCCTGGAAAAAACGGCAATTTTCCCGTACTTACCAATGGCCAACGACCCCATTCCTGCATTCAAAGTTAATCAGGGTTTTTTCCCTAAACGTACGGTTTTTTGTTAAAATCTCTTAAGAGATTTTAACTGACGGAGCTCTCTATGACATTGCAAAGTCACTGGTGACCTACTTAAAACCGCGGGAAAAGCAGACAACAACAACACTATATAAGATTCATTTTTGTTAAAAATGCATTTATATCCACAAAGTGTGCCATTCTGGGCTTTTCGTTATCCGACGCACTGTACAAAAACTCGCAACTTACGTCTGAGGGTTTCCCGCCATGTTATTTTGGTCTCGAATGAACGCGAGAATCCGCGTGACACCATTACTTCATTAGCAACGAATGCACTTGTCGACCGGAAAAAAGGGATCGAAAGCCCATTGACAAGCACAGATTTTAGTTTTCCTACAATAACGGCCGTTTTAGTGGTAAAATACAATAGAATATATTTCCATGCGTTGTTTACAATGTATTTCATGCGGATTTTTGAATCTCAAAGGAAGAGTTATTATTGCTTTAATAAAATATAAACAGACATTTTAAAAGGATATAACAAAGTGTTCATCATAATTTTAAAAGATGTTCCAGTCCTAATGTGCAGGCATTCGACGAAGCCCAGGTTTAATTGCTCACCTGCCCCTTGTTTCACCTGACAAAAACCATTAATCAATAACAGGCCAAGATTTCCCAATAATATCTCGTAACCACATGTTAAGGGTATTGATTTGCAAATGATACTGTTTATAGCTGGCTCAAGCTGATTAATATCTGTATTGAGGAATATTTAATTACAGATTAATTTTCCCCTTTAATACCTATCAGTTGTAAAAGGGTTGCAAATATATTCAATTATAGCTCAACTTTCTAAAGAACTTATTATTTGTAACAAGGTTTCAAATATGTTTTATTGAATATGTTCACTGCAACTTAATCCTGTTATGTTTTCTCTTACAAAGTTCCTATAAGTTTGTCTATAAAACAACAAGTACAGACAGTGCATTACTTTATGAAGCACTCAATAGCCCCTCTGTTTCCTCCAAAGTTTTAACACTCTCTTTCCCAAACAGTTCTTATGTGACAGACATATTTAACATATGGAGCATAGTCATCTACAATGTGCAATGCACATGTCAAAAACTCTTATTTTCATGTATTTTCCTTTTGCCATTATCTATCAAATGATATTGGAATTGTGACTCCCTCATCATGACTGACATTGGAAGATATAACAACTTGATAATCACTGTCTTAATATTCTGTCTTAGGGCCCATTCCCAGTAAAACTATTGTTACCTCCGCCAAGGAGGTTATGTTTTCACCCCTGTTTGTCTGTTTGTTTGTCATCAACATAACTCAAACAGTTATGGACCGATTTTGATGAAATTTTTAGGAACTGTCAGAAGTGGGCCAAGGAAGAGATGATTAGTTTTTGGTGGTGATCCCGATCAATAATCAATCAATAATCAATAATTATCAAAAATCGCTGCCTTGGCGGAGGTCTGCGCTCTCAGAGTGCTTTTCTAGTTCAATGTTGATCCAACTCTGTGGGGACTCTCACTAAATGCAATCTGATAAACACGCCTCCTCATTTCCAACATTCTTGTAAAATCACAAGCTTTTTTGGTACTCTACTCAATTGATTGCATTTAGCTACAGTCCTAGGGAGTTGGATCTATCTATGTTGCACAATTATAGTTTCATTAAGAATAGGCCCTAGGTGAACTATTTCTTTCCTCATTCTTTGCAGGTGTTTGGAATATTGACTCTCCTATCAATTCTGCTGGTAGCGACAGGAACACTTGGTATGCCGCTTTGGGTATCCCAACCCCAAGACCACCTTCCCTACAACGACACTAACATTTCTGATCTCAACTTTAATCTGCTGTGGGCTGTGCTGAATAAACATTCCAACCTGGACATCAAGGGGAGTGACTCACAGCAGAATGAAACACTGTATCATGTGGATTCACAGAACAACAGGACTGATTCACATGTCAACAAGACTGATTCACATGTCAACAAAACTGATTCACATGCTAATACAATTTATTCACATTTTGGCATGCTGGATTCGCAGAGCAATGTTACTGCTTCACAATTACATCCTACTGCTTCTCATGGTAAGGATACTCCTTCATATGGCAATATACCAGATTCAGGCGTTAAGAAAACAACAGCAAAAGGTGATAAAACAAGGACAAATTTCCGTCAAAGAAGATGGATATCAAATAGAGGAAAAAATTCTCTCAAGCTACACTGAAAGACCTTTTTTGTCTTCATATATCTAAAAAGAAAATGCCAACTTACAAACAGAATTTACACTAGGAGGTTAAATGGAACAGTTATGTGATATGACTTTCAAATTGGTGTTTGTGGCTATATCTGCTGAGCAATCTGAAGATTTGAAGGCTACATGTTATTCTTAAAAATCTTTAAAGAAAACTTTTTTTGAAGTTACCGTAATACCAGTCTGAGATACAGATTTTCAAATAACTAGGAAGTTAGGCTACCTAGCTAATAAAAAATAAGTTTTTGTCTTTTTAATCTTTTAACATGCTCTGCCATAGCTTTTACTACTTTTTTGTTGGCAACTTGTCAGGTTAGGTCCTTATATTTAAAGTACTGTCCCTAAATTTAGCCTTTACCAGATTGTCATCCCACTTCACTTTCAAATGTAATTAGTGTTTGACACTAATTATTTGTTGTCATCTCTACTCACTTCTCTCTGGGTGACGTTCTCCACTACCGTCCCAAAGGCAGGCACTGTAGATATTCTCACAGATCTAGTATAATACAAAATAAAATACATGATGAGTAGGTATGATAGCACTGAACACTGGATATGTAAACTAGTCAGACCATTGTAAAGTCCGTCCAAAAAAAATGACCTGTTAAGTGACAGTTATTGCTTTACAATCTTGTGGCTTTCAGAAATTAGGAATGAACCTGTTAAGTGACAGTTATTGCTTTACAATCTTGTGGCTTTCAGAAATTAGGAATGAACCTTATGGTGCACCTGTCCTTACTGTTGATATTTGATGAAATAAATGTATGAAAATTAATTATACATAATAATATCTATAACAACCTTACAAAGCAGATTTATTTATTGTCCTAAAAATTACAAAAGAGCTACAAAATAAATAAATAAATGACAGTCATGACTTCCCACCTGCAAAATAGTCCAGCTCAAAGCAAGAAGAGAGGGAGTACTGTAACAAGTTCAGTATGCTTACATTTCTGGGTCACTACAGCCAATGTGACCAGAGTGGAGAGGTCAAGGTGACAAGGTAATAGTAAACTTACATTTCTGGGTCACTATAGCCAATGTAACCAGAGTGGAGAGGTCAAGGTGACAAGGTAATAGTAAACTTACATTTCTGGGTCACTAGCCAATGTGACTAGGGCAGGCACCACTCTGCTGGCTATCAGGCTCTCACTTACTCCCTTCACTAGCACCTGCAACATATCACATTGGGAGAAAACACTGGACATTAAAAACCTGTTTGCTAAGATAAGGTCTTGACTTATTTGCCCTTTTCCACAGATTTTACTGTTAAATATTATCAAGGAAACTGCATGTCTACAATAAATGATATTTCTTTTTATAGGGTGTTACAAAATAATAACACTTAACAATAAAATTGTGAATTTTATGTAACCAATATACTACCTCAAATATCTTCCCTGTGGTACTTCTAACCTGAGCAGATGTATGTACCACTCCATCCCATAATACTGCCAGCAGAAGTTCATGGTTTGAGGGGTTGAGACTGGAAAAAAAAAAAAGGAAAAAAAAGATTTCCTCTCTTAAAACTTTATAACACTTAATTCAGTACCATAATTTTACCGATTTGTCTGTCTCATAAATACAAGCAAATACTTCTCAGGATTCTGCCTAAAATATTTTAAACTTCCAGGTAAATATACATACACAAAACACAGCCACATATATCAACAGTCCTGCCATAACTCTGATAAACAAAAAATTAATGGGCAATATTACACTTTTGACACCATCATTTGTTTTATAAAAAATAATTTT